CTAATTTTGTTGATATGGCGACTGGTGTTCATATTAAATCGTTGTTGACAGAATTTACTTTATCTCTCATGACATAGAATTTCTATGAATTTAGAGATAAATTCTACCAATATTGAAAAAAACATTCGTGTAGGTAATAAATTATTCTAAAGTCATATCTTTTTAAAGGAGATACCCTACTAGAGATCTTTCTAGGAATTCTTGATATTGAGGCAATTCTTAGACTCTGCCTGCTACGACTACATTTAATTTGAACTGTGCCAATGCTTTAGAACGGCATAAAATAGAGATTTGGTTTCATGTAAGCCATTATTCCAAGTATCTATTTAGCCTCACTCAAACAACCGCAAAATTGTAAAGACAATGCATGAATCAATTGACAGAATAAATAATTTTGAAAATTTACAAAATTTTGATATCTCAAAAAATTTTGAAAAATATTTTTTTTTTCAATATTTGAAAATAAAATTAGAAATTCATTGTACATGTGTAACCTCCAAGACACTGTATTGTTCAGAAGTGTTGTCTTTAAAAAGTATTTTTTAAACGCATATTATTTAATTCTACGTTTTTTGGGATCATTGGGATGTAGATTAAGAATCTGAAATCCGATTTTGGCGGTCGGCATTGGAAATTTTTAATGGAACCTGTACCTAATTGGACCTAACCTGCGAGGTTTTCGTTGATCGGCTAGGTATTTTCTATGTTTGGAGTCCGTCCAGCGGCCCGAAAAACCTAGCCAATCAATGAAAACCTTGCAGGTTAGGTCCAGTTAGGAACAGGTTCCATTAAAAATTTCCGATGCCGACTGCCAAAAACGGATTTCAGATTCTTAATCTACATCCCAAAAAACATATAATTAAAAAAACACCCTTTTTTTTGGATGCACTTGATCTAAAGTATTACCAAAAATTTTACTTTCATAAAAGTTGCAGTACTGTTGTGAGTGTTGCACACAGGGGTTGGCTAAAAAACGTGATTGACAGAATTTGCGTATCTCATTCCATATAAATGGCAGCCATTTCTGCAAGATGGGGTAATAAGGGACATGGTGGAATTCTAGGAAACAGTTGGTCATTTAGATCCACCAGGGGCAGGATGGCTGGAGTGCTCCACACTCCACAGCTCCAGTGCTACTAATTTGAGGAGCAGGGGGAGGGGGCCTCCATGACCATGAATGCTTCAGTGCTATTTGTTAAGGGTGGGACACTTGTTGTGTTGTGAAGTAAATGACAGTTATTTAGGTGCTGTAGTGCTCTAGTGTAGTTGTCCAGGCATTGCTGCTGCTGCCAGGGTGCTTGTATTGGAGATTTGGAGTGCAGGTTCATGCCGCTCCTATTATTGGCTACTGTGCTCCTCAATTCCATAAGTACATGGTCATTTAGGAGGCATTATTATGCATTAACATTGCCATTACCACCCCTAAACATTAACATTGCCATCACCACCCCTAAAAACTCATTTACAGTTGAACCTCAATTAGCTAAGGCTCCAGTTAACAAAAAAAATCAATAAACAAATAAAAAATTTGATTACATTTACCTTGCACAGCAAAAAAATTTCACTTAACAAAAAATTAATGCACCATAGTCATCACAAAATTTTGCATGGAATGTCATAGAATTGTGCACTGGGCAACATAGAATGAAAAATAATTAGCCTTAACTATAATTTGTTTCTCCAAAAATATGATGGTTGTCACTAAAGTACCTATTTCTTTTGGTTTCAGGTATTTTTTTATAATCTTTTTTGTTATAGTGAATTCACTTGACCCTATTAAAATAGCGTGAAGCTACAAGCCGTCCTGTAAGGACAGACAGATATAGAAGAAATTCTATAAGGCTGCTGATATGAAGCTTGCAGTGGACAAGGTTGTAAATGCTCAATGGCATGTTCATGGATATGGTAATATCACATCAATAATACAGTAATGTATGGATATGGTAATCTCATATTAAAAAGGGAAAGCAAGTAAAAATCACAGAAAATGTCATTCATTCTACATCTACATCATCTACAAAGGAAGAGGAAGACATCAGAGTACTGTTAGTAATGTATGAGTACACTCTGCATGCTTCAAATTTTTTAAAATTAAGTTTTATTTAAAGTGTCCCGGATTACCCCATTTCCAGAGGTAATTTGGGATGCTTTTATTTTACATCTGGCACATTACGAATAGCTTATAAATTTTTTTTGGAGGATGAGAATGTGCACTGTGCTGGTTTTATCGTGCTGAGGGCATTCACTTTCTTTGTTAAGCACTTTCCTGATATTGGTAGGTTTTAGGAAAACAGTGATAAAGGAATTATCTTCAATTAACTTTTAATATATCTAGGAATGTCAATTTGTGATTTTGTCCAATTTCATGGGTAAACTTCGAGACTGATCCATGTTCCAAAGCTCTTTGCAGTTTGATCTGCAAAGTGCTCTGATGGACTTGATACTCAAACAAGAAACAAATTGAACTTTTTATTTTTTGGACTTGATCCCAAGGATAGAGATGCAAAAAAAACGTATTTTTTCCCAGAGTGTTTTTTTTAGTAAAAAAAACGTTTTTTTTATGTGTTTTTTTTGTTTTTTATTGTTTTTTTTCTTTCGTGTATTTGTTTGGGATCAATATATCTATACCCTTAATATACATTGAAATGATGTGTTTTTAAATCTTATTAGGATGACCAGTACAAAGCTTGAGGAAGCTGGCACCCAAATAAATTCAGAATGAGGGCAAGTTCCAGAATAAGAGCTTGGTAGATTTATTAATAGAGGTTCACCAACCTTAAAGACAAAAGAACCCAGTCAAACATAACTGTCAGAAAACTAGAAAAGTACAAGAACCTTGGTAGAAACAAGTTTTAAATGCACAATATGGTAGAACAAAAATATTTAACTTTTTAGTTGTTATAAATGTATTCAATCTTATGAAGCAATGAATTTATACACCCTTTACAATAAGGAGCATCTCAGATTGCACATTTGTAGTCCCTGAAAGCCCCCCAAAAATTGAACGAAGTGTTGCACCAGATATGCAGGAATTCTATGGAAATGAATTAGAAATAGCTGTTGAAAAGTGGTGAAAAAAGTAACAGCTGAATGTGCCTAAATGCTTTGTCTCACTATTTTAGTATTGCAACCGTAATGTAACAGCCTTGCACCCGCCTTAAAGTCTTGTACCACCAAGCAGTTAGCAGCAATTTTAAGAGGCCATATAAAGTGAAATCATAGAAGTAAAAGTAAGGGCAGACTCCAATATAAATTAGTCAATTAATTATTGGAATGAACTAAGCCTTTCCATAAGGTTAAGAACATACAATTGTATAAATAGCCAAAGCTCCAAAGTTAAAGTGGCCTGGCCATAGTAGAGGGCGATGCCCAAGATTTGATCTGGAGTTGGCCCTCTTCTAGTTAAAGAAGAGCAAACACGCATGTCAGAAAAAAATAAAATAAAGTGAAAAGCTAAGAGTGATCACTCAAAATAATAAATAGAAAATAGGAAGGGATGGCTTCATACACTCCTACTGGAGCAAAATTGATTAGACATTTTCACCTCTAAATCTTACTGCCAACTCCTACTGTTTAAAAATCCATACCTAACAATAGGTATGGAGAAAAAGAAATTTAGTACCTAAGGAATGTGTCCCCACATTTTAGTACCTAAGGAAACAGCTCTTTGTTTTGAAAGACAACATTAATATCATCTATATATTCTGCAGTGAAGCTCAGGCTTGATCTGTGCATTGAGTAACACTCAATTTTCCAGTTCACACTTGTTAAATTCTGCAAAAGTTAGACCTAGAGGGCATCCCATGAAAGGGAGATTCTGATGTACAGAGGCGAAGAAGGCCAATTAAGATCTTTTTTGGTATAGGTGGAGCTGACAGGGTTTCATGAGAATACACATGCTTTATGATTATTCCTAATGTTTCTTTGGTTGGTACATTAGTGAACAAACAAGTAACATCCAGTGAAGCTAGCAGACACAGAAGGGTGTTAGGCATGAAGAATTTCCAAGAAGTCATTTCTAGATTTCAGAGAGTATTTCTTAGGGATATATGGTTTAATTATAGCATCAATTTATTTAGAGGTCTTATACACTGGAGAAGTAGTTTGCAAAATTATAGGCCTTAGTGGGCTGTCTTCTTTGCGAGTTTTAACGTTTCCATAGATGTAGCCCGGAGCTCCCTCTAAAGCTAATATATATATATAAATGATGACTGCACCTGTCCCATGAGATTTTTAGTGTAAAGCGTAGCCAGATTCCAAAGTGGAAATTAGGCAAAAGCCACCTGTGAATTGGAAAAAAACAAGAATCTGGCAGATTTCTGCCATTCCTCTGACATTTCTATATTTTTCTTTACTAGAAAGTAAGAAAAATGGCCTATTTTCATCCATGAATTTTGGAAATCACTTATTAAACAATTGTTTATAACCACGATTTTAGGAAACTTCTACCCAACATTGCAAATTGGGCCAGACAAGAAATGTTACACCTTTTACTAACAATCTTGTGGGCCCAAAATAACCAATAACCATTTGAAGTACTATTTGATTAGAAAATTTACATCTCCTACTAAAATGTCATTTATTCAAAACCATTCTTTTCCAATTAACAAAAAGCAGAGACAGGCTTTGAGTGTAAAAAATGTTATTATATTGGGTTAAGTTGCTTTTCATGCATGAGAGTCTTGAATTTTTCAGTTCCGTATCATGCCCTGTGTGGCCCAAGCTTCTGCATTTTCATTCCCAATTTCAAGCATGAAAAACCCCAAGTTTTTACCTATGTCAAATATATATACTTATACTGTACATTTTTGATACCTTTCTACTTAGCTTATATACTATCAATATAATTGAAGGGATCATGATTGAAGCTGAAAATTTTGTCTAGATAACCTAGCAATCAACAGAAAAGGAATGTTGAAAAACAATAAAGATTTTGTTAATTTTGATTCCTCATAAAAAATAATGCTAAAATACATTTCATTATTTTTAAATTAGGTATATTTTTCCAGGGGCATGGATGATAACCAGATATCATTGGAGCTGCCAAGTTTTCAAAACGAGTCAATGGACACTTCAGTGAACATGGTGGCCTTACCTGTTGATGATGAGGAAAGAATACACTTGGGTAATGTTTCTGCAGCTGACATGCAAGACATACGTAGCATGGCTGATGTTGCGGGCCTCAGAGTTGATATGTCAGATGATATATCAGATGAGCTCTCCATGGGATTGTCAAGCTCCAGTTTGCAGGTCACAAGCATTGAAGGCAATGAAGACCTGGTGATGACCAGGATGAACCTTACCAATGCTGCAAGTGCAACAAGCAACTCCTTGAACCATTATAACCATAATGAACTTCTTGCCAACAATCATCATCAAGCTCAGTTTGTCAACTTCAGTTCAACATCAAACAATCATCGAAAGGAAGTTCATGGAACAAGTAATGGCTTCATCATCAGTGACAACAGCTTGCCTGTCCTGTCAAAGCTCAACTCAGATTGTGCTCTACCATTGAACCAAAACAGGGATTTACTTGCGATCTGCTCCAGCAGGAAGAAATATTGTAATGAAGCACAAGCCTTGGATCATAAATCATTTGTGAAGAGTGAAGCTAGATCCGAACACCCCATGATCACACTAGTTGACAGCGAGGAGCTGGATGCCACACCTGCTCCTCTTGTTCACCATGTCAGTGAGGATATTCATTCTGAGGTGAGCCAGTAATTTTTCTTACCAGGGCCTATACTTTCAAAAAAAGTTAAGAGATCGTAAGTTCATCAGCTAATCATTGACGGCCTTTCAAGCAAAATCCACCAATCATAGACAAGAAAATAGAGCGTAAGTACTTACGTTAACTTAGCGAGCTTTGAAAGTATGGCCCCGGGAATTCTTGTCAGGAAAACTGTGCTTAAGTTTTATTCTGGCTTCAAATGAGTTTTTGAGATTATCATCTGTTTCTTTTTTTTTGTTTTAAGTCTCCATTTAAACAATTTTTTTTGCTTGGTAACAGCTAGTATTACTCTTGTAGGGCAAAGATAAACTTAGGAGTAATCTTGAATGTTGAATTCTTATATGTACATACAATGCTTGAAAGATTTTTTACAAATGAACTAGTATGCATGAACTACGTATGTTACATATACCATTTTACCTGTTACCTAAACCATTCATCTATGTTTAATAGATCTTGAGTTGGAGTGAAAGAACTCCTAGACAAAAATCCTCCCAATTTCTGATATTGGGAATATCAGAACTGAATAAATATTAACCATAATAAATATAACCATAATAAATATTAACCAGAAATAACCATAATTTGTTGAATAAAAAAATACTAAGGAGTTAATCTTGTCAGATTATGGCGCTGGATCTACATTCTTTTCACAAATTGTCTCTGAATTGTATAATCAGTTTACTGTTCATGGTCATTATATAAGCATTCTTGAAAATATTGCATTCTAATAATCTGAAGCCTGGACCCAGGAAAAATTTTCAGAATCGGCAGCTTCTGATTTACATTACCAGAAGCTGGGGCGACTCTAAATTTTGTTGGGGAATTAAAATCCTCTATAATTCTTTGTCAACTTGGATGTAGAAATGCAGGAACTCTAAGCCACCTAATGCTCAGCTTTTGATAAGCCTATAGAAAGTTTATCCCAAGAATTGTAACTAGAAGGCTCTCATCTGATGATAGGTCATGGAATTATTATGATTTTTTAGTGCAGTGCTAGAATCATCAATTAAAAATGTTCAAAATTTTTATTCTTTAGGATAGGTAAATTGTCTTTCAATCTTTAAGTTAAGTCCGAGCTTTTTTGTGTACTCCAAGCTGTGATTTCATATTTCAATATTTGATCAGTAATTGTGTTGGCATTGCAGAATACCACACAGCAGCCACGAGTGAATGATCACTGCTTCTTGTGTGGGGCAAAACTGACGGTGTCTGCAAGAGGAGCTGTTGATATCCTCAATCCCAGTGTATGTACATGCATAAGCACTTAAAAGTGATTATTTTACAGTGCTATTTTATTATTTCATTTAACAGTGATTATATTATTTTTTTAACAGTTCAATGTAACTCGATATGTTCATGACTCTCTTGTGGATATTCATTAATAGGAATCTTCTATACATTCATAATGATTCCGATTGATGGGACATTTAATATTTTTTAGCTTGATCACCTTTCCTTCTCAGAACACAAGCATCACAAGCTCTGTGTCTTTTCTTAAATTACCAAAAATAATTGATTTTTGAATGTTCAAATTTGTTCTGTTAGAAAATGCATCCCTAACCCATGTACCACCAACCACAAATATGAGCAATTTAGCAGGTTTCATTTTTCACTCACAGATGAAGACCTCTCACTGCCTTCAACCATTGAGCTGCGCACTGTCAGACGCCTTGCAGCTTCGGCCACCTCTGTTACCTGCCTCTCCATTGCTGCGGGAGACGTCTTTATTATGCAAGAAATGCTTCCGACAACTTGAAGAACACGATGCCTTACAGGCACAGCTCTCAGCTCTTCAGAAGGTGACTTGTTGTAGTTGCAGCTCGATGCCTTACAGGCGCAGCTCTCAGCTCTTTGGAAGGTGACTTGTTATAGTTGCTGCTCGATGCGTTACAGGCGCAGCTCTCAGCTCTTCAGAAGGTGACTTGTTGTAGTTGCAGCTCGATGCCTTACAGGCGCAGCTCTCAGCTCTTTGGAAGGTGACTTGTTATAGCGCAAGAAGCCAGTGTCTGTCCCAGATGCACAAGTATGCGCCTACAGGGTAGAGAAGGGTTTAAGTAAGACACTATTTGTCTAGAGAACTTATCTATATAGGAGGTGATAATAGAAGAGTGATACGATACAGGTAGAGCCAAGACGTCAACCGTTAGGAGCTGCGGTGGTGCAGTGGCGAGAGACTCAGTCTCTCGCACCCAGCTCCCGGGTTCGAGTCCCATTGAGGACAAGTTCATCCGGGAAGCTCAGCTCATGGTCAACTCAGCCATTCATCCAACTCTGGTTGATAAATGAGTATCTGACTTGTCCAGGGTGTTGTGTAATACAAAAATGGTTCTGGCAGGGCAGCGAGCCAGTGATGGTCGTAGAACTACCAGTCGCTAAGTGCCCAGAAAAACTGACCTATCACCACTTCTCCCTAGTCGCCACTACCAGGATGGGCAATTACAACAACAACAACCGTTGTACAACGGCAATTACAACAACAACCGTTGTACAATTACAACAACAACGCGAGCTATATCGCGGCGCGCTTGTTAGCTTCTGCGTGTGGCATTACTAAGTAAGGTTCTCAGGCCTTTTATAGAGTCACGGCTATCGCTTGATCTATCACGTGATGTCTCCAGACGCTGACTAAGGTCTAGTACTTTTCTATCAATCTCTATCACTTGTAGCAAATGTTATGTCTCCAATACAGATGATCTAATCGTATAATATAATTAAAATGAATATAATGAGACGCCAGATCGACACCTGACATGTTACCTATTTTCATCTTCCAAGTGGAACCAGAAACACTGCTGCGAAATTGAAATAGTTATGAGTAGCTTGCCGAATTCGCAGATTTTCGCAGAGAATTTAACAAAAGGGCTAAAGTGTAGCGCTTTGTTCCGGTTCTAAATTCCCTTGCGTTGGAGAAGGTAGGAATAAACACGAGAGAAACTTACACTGATGATCTCCAAGTGGTGTACGAGATTCGTCGTATAAAGGCGCACAATTTATTCAGTCGGGGTAGATACATATTATTCTTCACCGACAGTACAAAAGCTCTAATAGACCCAATCAAAAGCTCTAATAGACCGAATTACAACTTCAGAGGTACAAGGCTCGCCAAGTGGTAAAATGCCGCGTGACGTGAATTCGAAACGTAGAAAATTCAGCGAGTGACACGGGTACGACGCGCTGAAACGCGAAAAGCCATTCACAGTTACTGATAGTACGAGCCCCGATGCACTGCTGAGAAAATCGAAGGGTTAGACGACAGTTACGCCCAAACCCAAAAAAGCGCGAGCCCCGCGTGCACGAGCCCTGATAAGCGCTGATCAAGATACTCATGCGCAGAGGGTATTAGTCCCTACGGCACGAGGGTGCGCACGGTACCGTTAGCCGCACCTAGACGCCGCCAGCAGCTGGGACTAACCAATAACTGCTTACGCCGTATTTTGTCCGTCAGTGGTTCTCTTGCTAACGCATGGTTTAAATAAGCTCTCTTGAGTCGATTAAGCTTGCGAGATATGTCCACAACTACGGCAGAGTCTTAGCAGAACAGATCTGGCTCTTTAAATTCGAGTCGATGTGCTTGGATCCCCACCCAGTCCCACTGAGCACACAAAATTTGTCAGCGAGGGGTAACTCAACTAAAATAACCTCACAACATAACCTCGTTTACCGATGGAATTTGTTGAAATAAATTAATATTATAATTTAATCCTTTGGTCACATATTGATAGTTGAAAGTCGATATATGATAGAATAACTCTCGAAGATACCTAGTTCGCAAGGAGAGAACTTTGTAGCACATCGCCTAGACAAATGAAACATTAACTAAAATAATTTCCAAAGTGCAACGAGGAGTAATATCACATAATAGACCCACAGTAATAAAAAGTTTGATCTTTAGGCAACCTGAGTACAGGTTATAATCTACTTTTTACAGGACTTACAGCTCGAAGATGTCCAGCTTGCTCACACAAGATTGTGACGTAGCCGTAGGTACTCCCATAGATGGTACCGTAGATTGACGGCGCTTATTTACGACAAAACAGTATACTATTTCCATTATTGCATTAGAATCTAAGTTCTTCCACAAAAAAGTTGCGTATTAAAGCCAATAAACCATGGATCAAGCCACAATTTACAAAGAAAATATCATAGAAATGTCTAAACGTGGCCGGGACTAGCGGGCGACGAGCGATGTTTAGCAAATGATTGAAACTTAACACTATCAATAATTAATATAACGTTAAAATGAAGTTCAAAAAACAGTCAGAAGTCTTGAACTCCACAAAGTTATTCATACTGGCGTTAAAAATTATTCTTGTAAACTATGTAATAAAATGTTTGCTCGTAAAGGCGAAGTCGAAGACCATGAGAGAATACATACCGGAGAAAAACCTTTTCAGTGTGAAATTTGCGGAGCAACTTTCAGCCAGAGAAGTAATTTACAAAGCCACAAGCGTGCAACTCATCTCAAAGAAAAGAAGCATCAATGCCCTGATTGTGATAAGGCTTTTAAAAGAAGAAGGTTGTTAGTCTATCATCAAATGAGTGTTCACACAGGTGAACGACCCTACAAATGTGAAATTTGTAGTGCTGCATTTGTTTATCCAGAACATTTCAAGAAGCACCTCCGAATTCACACTGGTGAAAAACCCTTCAAATGCGAAATTTGTGGTAAAGCATTTAACTCGCGGGATAACCGTAACGCGCACAAGTTCATTCATTCAGAACGTAAGCCTTACGAGTGCACCTTATGTAACACAGGCTTCATGCGCAAGCCCATGCTCATGACGCACCTCTTGCAGCATGACCAAAATTTGTCTCAGCCCGAGTCTTGTGTTCGTGTGAACCCTCCAAGTGTGGCTGATGAACCTTGGTCACAAAATCATTCCATGGCAACCGATGAGAACGAATTTTATGAAAACTCTGAATCACTCAAAATTGTCCCTGAAGACCTCGAAGGTGAAGTTCAGCTAGTGAATAATGAAGAAGTTGAGGTTGTGTCTAGGCCACTGCATATCATCCAGACCGATGGCTTGCCGCGCTATCTCATCCAGAGCTCAGACCGAAGTTCCTTCCTGGCTTCTATTCAAGGCCAGGTGCTGGAAGTCCGTCCTGAAGCCTTCCATGTCAAGTGCGACGGAGTGCACTATGAGTTGAGTGACAACGCTCCTGAGGCAGAGGATGTCGAATCTCCCACAGCAAATGCTCTCGGCGTCCAGACGAGCACTTTTCAACTCCAGCTTGATGACGAGGACGAGCTTGACCAAGATGAACTCAAGTTGCAAAACGTAAGAACCGTTGGCGAGGAAATTCAAGGTATAAGTTGCGTGTCCGGTGTTGTAGGGTCTCAACATGGACACGACAATAATTTGTTATCGTGCGGCACATCGCAAGAAGACAACAACTCACTGTTGTCTCGGTCGTTCCAGTTCGATGGGCCCATCAAAGTTTATACCACCCAAGGTGTGGTCACAGTTCCAGGAAGCAAGGAGAGGCGTGTTGCGTCAAACAGGACCATGTGGAACGAAGCTAATACTGAATAACGATGTACATATATAGTAGTAGTTTCTATTAAATTAGAATCGAGTCTCCTAATTTCCGTTTTGTCAGGTAATGAAGCCTGCAACTTAATTCCTGCACAATTGTTGCACGCCCTATTTCAGGTCAATTTGTCTCTAACATTCATTTTGTTTGCCAGGATGAAATCCTCCCGAAATCAGGCATATCTTCATTAGCCTTCGTAAGGTTTATTTTCCACACAAAGTATTTTTCATGCAGTCCGTATAAGAATAATAAATTTTAGTTGACCTGTTAGACAATGGAAGCATAAACCTAGCGCGATGAAGTTTAGACAAATTCACATTTCTCGATATCAGTGCAGTTAAGCAGAAGTTCTTTATTTGTGCAGGTTTGATTGAAGACCAGAGCATGCATTTTATTAACATTTTTATTTTCAATGAGCCGAACAAAATTACTGGCGTTGAGAGATCGAAAAACTGGTAACCAAACATTTTACCGGAATACGGCGTTTCGAACATTCAGTATTCATTCTCAAGTAGGTGAAGAGTTATACAACACTTGAAATTTGGAAATGACCCTAATACATTCAAAAGGTATCGCATATGAGGTCCGAAATCAAAACTTAGAATTATTACGAGAATAAGTTCAATGACGAGTCCGGTGGTTTGCAAATTGATAACTGGAGACTCATCCTTGATGATAAGAGCCTCTGCTTGTAGTATCAGGGCACCCCATGATGATGCTGGTGCAGGCCACCAAAGTCGCGCGAGTGATGGTTTCGTTGTGAACCTCCTGCATTTTACATGGGTATTTTTTCATGATTAAATTATTAATTTTCTTGTTTTTGCAGTAAATTAGGAGTCGTACTTGGTCAGTTACTGTTGTGCAGGTGATCTTATTTTGCACAATTAAATTAAGGACTCTTTCATCTGTCCATTAACCGATGTTAATCTGGTTTTGACAGTAAATTCAGGCGACGCAGGCTTTTGATGTAGATTTGGTTTGGACGTGCTCGGAAATTTGATTTTCAGTGTCAATAGTTTTGTTCGCATAACCGTTGTTGACAAGAATTTGCTTGTAGGTCCGAAGTTCAGTTTTAAAGTCACGAGCGGTTGTAAAAGTTTTGAACGCTCGATGTACGAGGGCGCATATATATGGTGCTGATTTTGTAGCGCTAGAGACATACTTTATTTGTTCAGGACCTTTCCGATGTCTGTAGCTTTCCGATAAACTTTGGTGAACGAATTATTATCATCTTGCATCAGTATGTCCAGGAAATGTAACGTGTGACTTTGTACGAATTCGTACGTGAACGTCACAACAGATTTGAGTTCCAAATCCACGCGCAGCTCCATCATGTGATCGTCTCGAACGATGACGAAGAGGTCGTCAACATGGACAGTAAAGGTCGGGTTTAATCTGTGTATCTAACAACACTCGGTTTTCAAGTTCGCACATGTAGAATTCGGCGAATGTTGGACCAAGAGGACTACCTATGGCTACCGTTAATTTGCTGTTATATTTTGTTGTGTGGTGTCCGGAGAGGCAGTTCTTAAGTACAGACCCAGAGATCAAGTGGAATATTTTGATGGATTGCTTTTGCCGGCAAAGTTTCACTAGAGTAGACATGTTTGACTATTATTTCTAAAGTTTGTTCGGTTGGGACGTTGGTGAATAAGCTATTGAAGTCAGGTGAAGCGAGCAGACAAGTTGGGCACCGATTGCGAGGTATCTCCAAGAAATCGCCTCTAGATCTAAGCGAAAATTTCTTCAGGATATACGGTTTTGTTATAGCATCCAATTCTTGGCCTGTCTTGGAGATTGGAGAGCTAGCGTGAGCAATTAACCAATTATGGACCGGAGGAGATTGTTCCTGTTTGTAATTTTTAACATTTCCGTAGGGATAACTTGGCGAACAACTCCCGACAATCGAGGTTAGTTTTCTTGCGCCGGCCGTATTTATTAATTTGTTGGCTCTTGTTAGAAGTTGTTCTGTAATATTTCACTTATTCCTGAAATATAGTCAATTTTGTCCAAGATGACGAAGATGTTACAGCTTTCCTTATTACAATTTTGTCGCTATCTCTTACTTGCTTTGCTGCTAGGCGTAGAACTGGGGTTAAGACAGTGGAGGTCTATGATGGAGCTGTATTTATTTTCTATGTATTTATCATATATTTCTCGATATATGCCTAATCTCTTCATCAAATATTTACAATTTTTATCTTTATTACCTATACAGATGATTATTCAATCAATTAGGTTCCAGACTGTTTCTTCGTTCACGCGATCGTTGGCGAGGTATCCCACCTTGTCACTGCAGGCTCCTACCCCAACAAATTTCTAATTTCCGTGATCTTCGTAGATCAAATGGTTTTAGCCATATTTTGTTAGCAATTCTTTTTGTATAATGTATATATATTCCCTTAGCCGCCTACACCGCACTTGATTTAGCGGTGTCTACCCCTGCCTTAACATTAATGTTGACACGCTAAGTGAACTTAGTCGTCTGTATTATGTTGCGCTCTAATGCATATGGCTGTCAAGTACAAATTTAAAGGTTTTTTACACATTACTGTTAACTTGAATGTGCAGACACTATGATAAAATAATATAAAACATTTATTGTATGATAATTATATAAATTATAGGACATAGTTATGTGTATTACTATTTTTTTCCGATTGCCTTGCTGCAACTAACGTTTCATTAAAACTTAAATCGCTTCGACATCCACGCTGTTTCATTCCAGCTACGATTTAAGGTCTTTGGCCCTGTATGTCTCATTTGAATAGACTTTTTCAGTCATTACCCTAGGCTAAATGATAGATTATCGTACTGTGGAAATGAATATACATATATCACTTATTCAATAAACGATGATCTAAATTGTACTATGTCCATGTGTTCTTGATGCGTTTTGATCGCGGGCTAGCAGATTGTAAGAAATTTCTATTCTAAAATTGACAGTTACTCAACATACAGCGCGTACGGGTCATGATGCTCTTCGATGAATTGGGAACAATATCCCTTCGATTATTTATAATCAATGTTGCCGTGACTATTTCTCTATTGCTTGGTTCATTATTCTTCAAACGATGCAGTTAATTTGCAAAAAAGGTCCCCATGTTCTAAAGATCTGAAAAATAATCGTGACAATAATGGCGAAATTTCACATCATATCATTTACGAGTGGAGCAAAGTCCAGCCTAATTTGTGAAGAAACTAGGAGGGACGAGCAGAGCCTGTTCAAAGGCTCGCGGTTTCTCAATCAGAGCCTTAAAGCTCTGGGAGAATCAAGGCTTGAGTTACAAGTATATCATAAATTTAACTCTTCTGCATAGGGTGAGCATTGAAAAAAATCAATATCTGTAAGATTATTTATTCACTAACTTAAAACTATAGTGACAAAGATTCCAACGACATATTGACAAATGAATACTGATTCGTGATCATATCTTAGTTAGGTTGCCTTTCTCGGAAACTAATGTCACAAGCTTTGAAACAAAAGATCTGAAAACTATTTTGTCGCGTGAAATAAACCATTTATTTTGTTCTCCCATGAACTTTCATGCATCTGGAATGATAATCCGTATATTATTTATTTATACTATCTATAACGTCATTTGTCTTATCATTAAAAACTTCAATCCACAGTTAACTACAGGGTAGGTATTTACGCTGAATCGTAGAAAAATATCCGCACATTTCTGGATAAAGCGTGATTTTAGATCACTGCGTCAGGTTTTCCGACTTCCATGGTCGCGTGAGAAGAATGGCAACGTAGCGTGAGAAGAATATCAACGTAACATGAGAAGAATATCAACGTGGCGTGAGAAGAATGGCAACGGGCGTGAGAAAATCCGCAACGCTAGGCGCCAGAGATGCAATGAGATATGGAGTTCATTTCTTTTCTGCCATATAATTCCGTGCATCAGTAAATAAAATTTATACCTGCTAGAGATTCATTGGTAATCTGATTTTTTTCACTAGAGTTCGTCGCCCAAAACAGTTGATTTTCTTTCTTCCGAAGACCTTTGCGCATAAGTAAGGATGTTCCGTACATTTTATGCCCTGAAGGGGATTATTAAAAAAAATGTTTTTAAATCAACTGGCATAAAGCAATGATTCCCTAGGACCACGTAGAAAAATAAGCATACTAGGATTACGTGAAGTTTCACTTGGCAGCTCGTTCCTTGTGCTCAGTCTTCACAGGCCTGCTGTTATTGCCCAAACAAGTTCTCACCCAAACTTCAATGAGATCACCAAGGCAAGGACCAGCGTTGCGTTTCCGCCAGTCTTCTTCGTAGGTGTTTTTGACACAGCCTTGTGCCTTGGAGATGTTCTGCAATAAGATACACCTTGTGAAGCGCCACAACTCATGCATTACAAATAAGTAAAGCATTTATTGTATTCATTAACAATGTAAGATCAACGTAATGAAAGCCCTAAGTCTGAGTTTTCGGTTCCTAAGAAAATGTATACCCTAAAAATCGAAGGTACACTAGATAATGATGATTACCAAATTTCAACTATTATAATGCATTTGATGATAATAATACCTGGCAGACGTAAGTAAATGAAATATCATAGTGAAATTCAACTAATAATAAATGCCATAGATTGACATACCTCTTTCAACCGTAAGTTGCGTTCACGCTGCGCAGGCTCGGATGACTTCTCGACTCGCGCACTCAGGGCTTGGTAGAGCAGGGAACCCACGCTGAACATATAGCGCAGGCACTCCTTCACATCCTCGGGCGTCTCCACTACGCTACCTAGCATAGCGAGCCAGTCAAAATTAGAGACATGCTGGTCATCACTAAAGGCCTAGAGATAGTAGGTACTATTTACCGGCGCCAACTTGATTTCTCGCCAGTAACTAGTGTGTGACGGTGAGCGTAGTTACTGTCAGTAACTTGTGTGTGACTAACTGTAGTTACAGTCAGTAACTTGTGTGTGACTGTAACTGTAGTTATCATCGGTAGGGAGAGGGCTAAGATTTGCGTCAATTCAATTAGAAATACACAGATTGGTATTTGTTGCAGATTTATATTCATAACGGCACTGTAAGATGTATTAATTGAATGAATAATCATTGATACATAGTTCGGCGGCTGTTCAAACTTTTCTACTTCAGCCAATTCAATACGAAACATGGGGTCACAGGCTCACCTTAAAATGTAACTATAGAACCAAAACGAAAGATGTAGTTATTACAAACCATGAAAATCTAGTAATTTTAAATTTTATTTAATTTGAATATTCAGAAATTGTCAAAAATACAACATAAGCGCACCAACGCTTAAGCCAACTCTTCATTGCGTTTGGCAATAGCTGTACAATTTATGATTTCATAATGTACACCGGAGTGATTTGATACGTGTGCGAAAATTGAAGATAAAGTAAAACGTTGTTGCGCCTTCCAAATTATTGAATGATTTATAAAAGTGATTGTCAGCAGGATGATAGGCTTAAAGTTCAACTATCGACTCTAGAACGCTAGTGCCCTGAGTGTCACAAATAATACAGTAACATCCAATATTATTATCTAAAAAATTTCAACAAACCCGGAAGCGTGGAAGTTTGCACTATAAAGTTGAGCTTGGTAAGCATCTTTTCTATCCGATCTTGCCCGATCACCTGCACGGACATGTCTCTCGTCGAAAGGCGCGAAACTGCCCGACACATCCAATATTATAGATTAATTCGCTAATCTCATGAAAATTGTGCGAAAGTTTCTAATATTTTATAGTGTACCATTCATTGAACATTGAATAAAGAAAATACGAGGGTTTTGCGCACGAGTATCAACTAAAACTCACATGATATTTTAAAATCTGTAAAATGAATAACGAAATGAATAAGGCTTGCTGACATTTGAATAATTCCTTGTAAATTTGATAAAATTATAACTAAGAGACTATCCAACAAAACCATTGCCGGACAAGCTTCCAGGGGGCCATACTTTCAAAACTGGCTAAGTGGACGTAAGTACTTACGCTCTATTTTCTTGTCTATGATTGGTGGATTTTGCTTGAAAGGCCGTCAATGATTGGCTGATGAACTTACGATCTCTTAACTTTTTTTTAAAGTATAGGCCCCCAAACGTAAAAACAACTAGTATTGCACGTACAGCTGTATATTAAAGTTACTTATGATACCTAAATTCGATCTATTGTTTTGAATGATTCAAAACGATTCAAACAGCAGAACAACATCAATTAATGACTACTCTGCTACTGGCCGCTGCAGGCGTTAAGCAATATAAGATCACACGCAAGTACCTACGGCGGCGGTCACTTGTTTCACCTGAACGGCTGTCGGAGGGTCGGCGTTCCGGGTTCACGGCGTCCGTCGAGCTTTTGAGGCTCCTAAGGAAAGCAGCGACTTTTCTATTAACTTCATCCTCATCCGCCTCACGCTTCACAGTCGACCTCAACGGAGACCTGTCTTCACGTACAGCTTCCTTCTTGATTGACTTTGTCAGGGATCTCTCCCTACTTCCGCGATGGCTTCCTGCGCAAAAGAAAAGTATTTTGCAATTCCCCACCACTTCATTGGAATGCTAAGCTTTTGCTGAAAACAAAAATGACTAGATCATTTAATACACTACAAGTTGTGATATACGTTTATCCTACATCATACTATACGATGCTACTATGATAGTAATAATGCATGCAATTGACAGAATATTCGTGCATAATAACTGACATGAAATATGAGATTTTCTGCATTACTTACGAGGAGGCGACCGCGAACTGCGTCCATTATAAAACCCAGCTCTGAAATAAAAACGTCAGTGACTTGACGGAACCACTATTTTATAACAAAAAGGTTGAATTTACATACGCACAATATAAAAATTGATACAGTAATTTACGAACATTTCAGTGCCCATATATATACAAACAGTTATTAAGTTTGTTGGGCGAGATGAAATGGGGTTTCAACGGTAGAACGTCGCTCGTATATATGAAAACCAATACTACTGGAAGTAAATTCTTACATTTGAAAGTATATCAAATGATATAACAGAAAATTACATTCCAAGGAACACGTTTTTAAGGATTCGCATACATAACTGACCTGATTCGCTTGTTACGCAGTTTTGTTAGGGACAGCACCTCGTCCTCCCATCGTGTCGGGTAGAGCGATTTATCTGTGAGAGGCAGTGTTAATCTTTTATCCCCTGGCGAATTGCATGGATACAAGTCTACCCAAACTTTGTTCGATTATAACGTTGTAAAATTATGCAGCCTCGCAAGGGTTAAACAACTACAATTGACGCACATTAGCAGAACAAAGGGCCGACCATCATAAACTTGCCGTTGAAATTTCCTCTGTTACTTTGCTCACCTTCACTCATATTTAATGACGATTAATGGAATACATAGTGCAAATATAAGAACTTTATACTAACTTATTATTATTACAATTGCGGTTTTGTCAGTTTTATTTTATAGCTTCATAGTCATTTGCCAAAAATGTCGAATCTCGTAGGTTATAAAATAGGAACCGATGTCTACTGTTGTACGGATAAAAACTATATTTTTCAGAATCGAATTGCAGTCAATATTATCAGCATTGATTAACACTAATTGATTACCTGTTATAGTAATTATGTCTTCAACCCTCACGCCGTCTCGCTTGAAAGCCTCAAGCCTCAGAGTAGTCCGGACTTCCGGAGAGAAAACTCTGACGTCAGAATAGTAGTTGTATCTCTGCAAAGACAGAGAATGGAACTAAACAAGGCTATACTCAGTAACTTAGCTCTACGCCTCACTGCATATATCGCGGTTGCAAGTCAACCAAAAACTAGAGGAATTTTGGGGCGTAAGTTGCCCGCACGCTATCTCAATGAAAGAGTGCACGAAAATTCTAGGCCCGTCTTCGATTAGATAACATGAGTGATTTCACTGGACGTAGAAGTTAATTAATTAATTGGGCATAGTTAAATGGACATACGTCTTCAGCAAACTCTTACAAAGAAAGAATCTGCATCGGAATGCAGAGAAAATATTTGCCCTGATCTCGTTCGTCGAACGAGATTTCCTTTCGTATTCTAACATGTATACTTATTTCATTTTATTCACACTTATTGATGCTTTTTTCATATGTACTTTTGCTAGAGATTGAGGGTAACGCAACTTCGCGGTAATTCATTTATCACGATCAGTTCTCGTTTTGAATAACCGTGATAACGTAGACTAATATATTTCTGAATGCCGATGAATTCAAATATAACTAGCCAGTTGGTTGGAAAAGAATGTATAAAAGTGAAAGCTATATGAAAAATACCAAAGACGGTACTTACAATATATCTATCAGTATGCTTGTCGTTTTTGACGTGCTGAATAATCGCCTCAATATTGCCATGCGCACCACAAAGGAGACACTTGAAGTACCTAGGGCTATCGTGATGACTCCTGGAGTAGCCCTCAATCAAATGAGCTCCTGAAATGTAGATCATAAATAATTATTTACAATGTATATTTATATATACAAATGTGATAGGAACGAGTTAAACTGAGAACTTAGTAGAACTCTAGTTAGTAGAACGTCGACTTAGTAAAACATAAATAGTGTAGTTAGATCTTCATATGCATGACAAACCTAGTATCTTGGCGTGAGAATGAAGAATTTCATACTGAAGTGAGTTGGGGAGATACTTCGAAGCCAAAACTCTCTTCGGTCCTCCTGAGAAGTCGTCGTCGCTCTTATCCGCATTCTGGGAAGAATGTTCAATTGCTCTATATAACCAACTCATGTGCAGAATGTATTAAATTTTAATTTATCTCAAATCAGGCAGAAATTAACACGACCTACGATAGCTAGCCATGTTGCGGATAGTCATATGAAAGAAACTGGAAATCAAATGCTTTCTAACTGATTCTTCAAGGCAGACCAAATTTAAATCAAATTAAAAACTAGTCTGGAGCTATGAAAATTCTATCTGTGAAACAAAAGTCCAATCAGGGGGTATGGTACTATTCAGAATCAAAGAGAATATTTTCTGAGAATGCCCTCAATTGAAGTATGATGATTCGCTAAGGGTTGTACACTGAGTGTAATTGGGTAATTAGCGTGACATTGAAGGATCTTTCAAGGAATGAATGCAACCTAAAACAGATAATTAAGATTACAACCTAAAACGATAATCAAGATCAGATTGAGCCAGATATAGTGTTCAAGCATCAGTAGTTATTCACCTACGTCAATAATATTTATTACCCTAATCCCTAACCCTAATTTTGATGGATGATGTTCAAATTTTTAATTCAAATGTGAGTCATACCCAACGATGAAACCTTTGCTTATATCCAACACTACCTTCAGTGGCACAATTAAGTTACACGCGTTTGACATGCAACTGTAAATGAATTCATATTCATAATAATACGGCTCTCAGACAAGGTTCTCAGACAAATTCAACAGCTCTCAGACAAGGTTCTTACCTTCGCATGAGCACCGGAATGATGATGAGCAGTTAGTGCAGTAATGCAGTTCATTGTTTTGCGGCAAATCTGTTAATAAATTAACACAAATTCAAGAAAAATTCAAACTGCAAACTATTTCCTGATTATACTAGTTTTGTCGGAACTATTGAACTTTTAAATATTTAAGAAACTCAGTTTTTAACTGCCATGCATTTAAATTGAAGTTATTTCAGTAAAATTCTGATTATTGACTATTCGTGCACGCAGTCTAAAGTTTGCGTTTCTAAAATGAGAGAGAAACGGAGGTGTAATATCCAACAATTCAAGAAGAAATTAAAAAAAGGGGTGGAGAAAAAGGGATGGAGATTTCGTTCATATATATAACATTCATACTTTACAGAAGAAGTTCATCCGCTTGGTGAGATCAGTAGTGATGGCGTAATTTCGGCCGTAAATAATCCCTGGGAAACAAAATATAATGTATATATATGGATAATTCTCCTTTGCAATTCAAGAGTCAATTAATTTGTGCATATAATAGTAGAGTTTTCACCACCATTAGATTATTTTGATAATAGCTATTAATTTGGCTCGATTCTACAACAATAAAAAAAATTATACAATATTGTTCCCACTGATTGGGATAATTGCAGGTCAAGATAGTCGTCAAGGCTGGATATTCATAAGTTAAAGTCACCTCGAGCCAGCCACATTTGGGTCATAACCGGATTTTTCTCGTTACTCAAATATGGACTAGAGATCATGTTTGATCTAGTTTACATTTCTACTCTCATATCGTGCATCCCAAATCCATACACTGAGATGGACGAAGATTACATGAAATAAAATTTATAAAAGTACTGAATATTTAATACCAAGTCAAGTGCAAACTCATGCATAGTTATAATCAATGGATGGAGTGAAATAGCGAGTGAATGAATTACTAACCACGAGTGAACCGTCACAATGAAGGGTATAGAGATGAAGGTGTACATGATGATATAAGACTCACATAATGCCTCCTCGAAAACCGATGAAAACGAGAGATTGGTGGCAAAGTCGGGAAACTTGATCAAGGCTGCATCAGCGGACTTCTGTAAAATTAGTTCAGCAGTTGAAGGTTTATTAGTAAATTGATATGAGTATACATAAAATAGGACATAGAAAATGTTTCGCAGAACTATTCCGAATCACATAACAAATAAATGATTTTGAAATGATTAAAATTTGAAAGCTAGATTCCTTTAGATCGTGGAGGCCTGCAACAACCCATATCATCTGCTAGTCTACTCCTATTCTTGAATCAATTTTTTAGTAGTACTGATTTGCACTGACTGAATCGGTTATTTTGTAAAAGTCGTCTCAGCTTTATTGAGCTAGACTGTATAATGAAGATTTTCAAGATAAAGAATCGAGTTTGAATACATAAAATTATCGTGTGTAAACATCAATATATATTAATGAATTCTCCTCAATTCAATGTTTGCAAGCAGAAGGCGTTATCGTTGATCTCAAGACGATAAGGTTCAAGTTAAATTAATAGTCAATTTAGCTATACAAAATTAGACAAGATTCAGAAGCCAAAGAGTGAAAATAATTAGCTATCATGCATATATCCATATTATATTTATTTTTAGTTTAAATTTGCAACCAGATTTACAGTGAAAGCCAAAGGAGACACTAAATGATTACACAATTCGTTAGGATTCATAACTTGCAACAACGTAGAGAACAGAGAATGTTATCGGTACTGTGAATTATACTTCATTAGGATGTAAGTGATTAAATTATATAGCAGCATCATCTTACCCGGTCTCTTGGGTATTCAAAAGGATAATCCATTTTCAACGTCACTGCCGCGAACCTAAGATCTGGAAGGTAAATATTATAAAAACGGTTAAAAAGCACAAATTGGTGATACGTGTAATTCATTCGTTATAGTGTAATATTTTAGCTACGCTCAGATAAATTGGGATAAGTGGCTGACGACTGAGCGTCATTAGTGACTGGTGAATCAATCATAAAAACGTATAATAATTTTTAAAAAACATTTAAAATAACATACTTATGCAAGAAACGTGGTGAACAAATGAATAAAACAGCGCACAATTCTAATGTAAATGCAACTCTCATGGGAGGGAAAATTTTGTGAATTTTTGTAGCCAAGTTCAGGCGAAAGGGAGAAAAAATGGCACATCAAAATAAAGTGTAATCTGCCCCTAAAAGATGGTTTTCCTAGAAGTAGTCTAACTTAAATACTTACCTGGCACAGGAGATACCGTAAATATTTACACATTACCGAACTCATCGGTTCCATAAAATAGAAAGAAAAAGAGTACATATCTATGAACCAGCAAATATCTATTTACCACCAAACACAACAGCAAGTTAAAAAGTAACGTAAGGGTAAGAAATACCTCGAGTCAATTTGGTCAAGCATCGCTATAAATACTCTGAAATCCCAATATTTAATTCCTACTATAACAAAAGAGAGCAGGGAAATGCAGAGCAATTGAAAATATAGGTAGATCGCCAATCTATTCGCCAACTGAAGTAGTGGACCCACCGTCCGAATGTTGATTTCAAAATTATCGATACACCAAGTCAAAGGTGTAAATGAACGACTTTTTTGCAGCTTAATTGCCTAGACTGCCAAATTCACACCAATAAATGCCTAATCGTTTCGATCATAAGTCGAGAACGAAATCTTTTACGTACCTCAATCGCTAAACTAAAAAATGCATATGCTTAATAATGCTACCGGTAACGAGCGCACCAGAATATAGTGCGCCTGCAACTCTTACGAAGTAGCCTTTTCGTTACTAGCGCAACGGAATTGGTAGTGGAGGTGCTACGGTGTACATTACTTTTTCATAACTTTTATTTCAGATCATGTGAAACCATCCATCATTACGTATTAGTTGATTTTAGGAACATATTACGTATTGGTTTTCAAGAACATAACAATACTGTTAAATTAGAAACCAGGGTGCGTTGGTGTGAAACTAAACACGCAATCATAAACGGAACACGAGAATGTCGCTCATTACAATACTTGTCACACCGAAGATCATGTAGCAACCATCAACAAGCGAAACGCAAAAAACTTGCTGGTTGTACGAATGTCTATCATGACACGCGAAGATTTACGAACGAAGTTTGAGTCTGGCATTCCAATATGGCAACTGAACTGAACCGATTATGGCGTTATTTTTGACGATATTATTAGGCAGAGCGGTACAAATTTGCGAGCGAAACATGCAAGCGACGTTGGCGAAAAATTTAAAATAGCTTTAACAAACAAAAGGACAAAAATTTGCTTCTAATATGACTGATAGACCATACACAGTCTAGTTCTTTTAGAGAGAAGTAGGACTTAAAACCAGATTTTATTACAACGAATGTATGTACTGATTAGGCACTAACTGCTATGAACTACGTAAATATAGCATTACTGCTAATGCTGAAAACCCAGAAATACTATTTAAAAATCAAAAACCAGGCAAGAAAAACGATATCATTAGGCAGAGCGCTACAGGTTCGCGAGCGACCTTGGTGAAAAAACTAGAAATAGACTAGTTTAGCGACAGTTCATTTCGTTGGCTATATCATGACCTAACAATGATAAACCAGAACTATGGGGATTGCCTATGTTAAATTATTTGCAAAATTCTATCACAATTCACCGTGTTGCAAGTACATCAATAATTTTATATTGCTTCGGCACACTCAAAACTTGTACGTAACTCCACTTACGACACCTCCGAGCAGGCGTAAAGCTACGTACGGCTTCTTGTACATAGCTTCCCGCGCAAAGTTTTGATAATACCACTGCTACAGTTACGTCATCATATCAGCACTTACGCCACACGTAAGTCGATTTTGCGTACTTACGAAGTTTTGATAATACGGCCCCTGGTCAGTTCTGTACTTACGACGAAACGAACTAAACGGCAGCTCAGCAACGTGCCGGTAGACACCAGTGAATTCCTTGGTCCCTTACGCAGGTAAACGAAGGTTCAGGGTAGTATCTAGGAAATTGAAGAAATGAAATCACAAAACTACATTAATATATAATATTCACAATATAAAAACAATAATGAAATTTGGGTTGTAGAATTCACAACTTACTAAGCACCATTAAATAAATTCGCATTAATAGGTTAATAAAATCTTACGATATGACTTCAATATTTTGTTGTTCTGAAGCTGTAATTTATTTCATATAGATTACAGATTCAGCATCTGTAAGAAAAGGTTCAGCATCTCCGAAAAAAATTACCGAATAATAATGCACGCATGAATACTATTGAGGGTTGTAACTAAACATCTGAATAAGTATTATAAAAATAAGGAAGTTCTCCATAAGTAAATACCAAGGAAATCATAATTGGCATTTTAGCGATTGCAGGCTATTTCCTTAACAATAAAATATTGTAAAATCATATTAAACTAGCAATTCAAGTGACCCACTCAATACTTTTGCAAACATTATACACTAACAAGTAATTTGAACAATCAACATCAACTCATTCCACACCTTCACGAGCGTAGCCAGAATTACTTTCATGCTTTCTTTATTACTGAAATCGTGCGATAAAAACTGCTGCTAGTTTTGAGTAATAGCCGATTCCTTTCTTCACACGAGACTGACGATAGATGATAAGGAAAATTGCGGCAAGACTCATTACCGCGATGCTAACATAAAAACTTATATTACTTTCGAATTTTGGCGGGTTTAGCTGGAAAAACCTACCCAAATCTGGTCAGTTCTGTACTTTCCACGAAATGAACTAAACGGCAGCTCAGCAACGTGCCGATAGACACCAGTGAATTCCTTGGTCCCTTGCAGGTAAGCGAAGGTTCAGGGTTGTATCTAGGAAAATGAAGAAATGAGATCACAAAACTACATTAATATATAATAATCACTATATACAAACAATAATGAAATTTGGGTTGTAGAATTCACAACTTACTAAGCAACATTAAAGAAATTCGCAGTAATCTAGAGTTTGGAAACGTGATCACCGAGATTTGAAAAAAAATTTAATAGAGAATGTTCAAAGACGTGCAACATGGATAATTCCAGGCTTGAAAGGCAAGTCCTATGAAGAAATATTAAAGATTATGAAGCTTCCAAGCCTCAGCTATCGAAGTCTGCGTGGGGACCTCATTGAAGTATACAAGTACACTCATGGTTTATACAAGGTCCCCGAAGGATTACTAGAATTTGAAACAAGAACCAGCACCAGGGGCCACGTCTATAAACTAAAAAACTGCGCTGCAACTTTTCCACGCGACATTTCTTCTCGCTTCGAATCACCGACATGTGGAACAGCCTCCCCGATTACATCGTTGTCGCTCCAAGTATGAACGCGTTCAAGAATAGACTAGATAAAGCTATAGAAAAATATATGTTCAGACTTGAAAAGCCTAGCACCATATCGAACCCGGTGGAAGTCTAGTAGCAATTTCAAACTATCGTCAGTCATGAAAAGATCCGGTCACATGACACGATTTTAGATTTTCTGTGAAAATGGCAAGAAAAGGAAAAGAATCGGCGACAGGCCACATCAGGCCTACACTTCAGCGCCGACATCACAATGTTATGTTAATAAGTTAATCAAATCTTACAATATGACTTCAATTTTCTGTTGTTCAGAAGCCGTAATTTGTTTTATATAGATTACAGATTCAGCATCTATATTTATTTTCTCTGAAGCTGTAATCACCGAAAATTACCGAAATAACAATGCACACATGAATACTATTGAGGGTTGTAAATAAACATCTAAATAAGTCTTATAAAAAGGTGTAAGTTATCCGTAAGAGGATACCAAGAAAATCATAATCGGCATTCTAGCGATTGCAGGCCATTTCCTAAACAATAAAATATAGTAAAATCATATTAAACTAGCAAATCAAGTACCCAATCAATCAATACTTTTGTAAACATTAATGCACTAACAAGTAATTTGAACAACCCATATCAACTCATTCCACAACTTCACGAGCGTAGCCAGAATTACCTTCATGCTCTCTTTATTAGTGAAATCGTATGATAAAAACTACAGCTAGTTCTTAGTAATAGCCGAATCCTTACTTCACACGAGACTGACAAAAGAAGATAAGGAAAATTGCGGCAAGACTCATTACCGCGCTATTAAAATAAAAACTTGTATTTCTTTCAAATTTCGGTATGTTTAGCTTTTCTGACAATGTAGGTTGATTGTTCCATGTTTCAATGCTCGTTTCATTATTAGTTATAGAAAACGAACAGGCCAATATTTATTTATATATAAAGCCTAAAGGTATATAATGTTTATTAGCATTCTATGAAATCATCATCAAGCACACTATACAATACGTCAGTGATTTTATTGTGAGCATAAATTATTCCAACTCAGTTTCAAAGGAAGTACACTGTACACGTATAGACAGTTCTGGCTAGACCTGCCACACAACTGAAAAATTGGTGAGTTAAAATATTCCATTACGAGGTTCGTTTCAGCCAATTGGCTGCAACAATTATTTCATCTACAACTTGGTAAGACGGAATCCACCTCAAAGCTGAAAATTAATAATAATATATTCACTGCTGAAATCCGACTGATAAAAGTATACGAGAAAATATAAAAAGTTTCTATTTTAAATTCATTTCCAGCTTGAGTTTCAAAAATATTTATTAATATCCATGCAATTGATACAAAGAACTACTTAAAACGAGTAGTCTGCGTCTCACAGAAACATGATGCAAAAACAGTAAGTGGAACTGAGAAAACGCATGATGCAGTGGCCTAAGGACCGCCCACTGCCAAGAAACGGCGGTATGAGGAATAATTCCGCAACAAATAAAGATTTTAAATCACAACGTCCTACACTCTTACCTTCAAGTTTCGTCCGATCGGAGTTCTTCTAATTGCAGCAAAGTGACACAGAATAAACAAAATAACTTTAACTGGTCATTAATACGAACACGTCAGAGAAAGATATTTACGGTCTTATCGCGGCAAAGGTTTGTGAAGGAGTGCCGAACAGGGGCCCAAGCTGATGGTTCTCGAGATAATTTAGGTATTTTTGTTTTAGACGTTACATCGCGTACAAGCCTCTTTATGGTAAATTTTCGCTCATTTTTAATTTCATATTCATGTTTTTGTGTCAAGCTATTATTTTTTTAACACTGAGTATGATAGCGGTACATAGCTATTCATTTATGTTCAAAAAGTTATTTGAAATGTCTGTCGTCAAATTATCTTATATTGGTGGGCCAAGGCCATGGGCATCAGGGCATGGTGGCCAAATACACTTAAACAGGGCATAAAGGCTCCAACTTTCTAGGTCTTCACTCAGTATGGTGGAATTCCGGTACTTGATAAATATACCAACTGAACTAGATAATTTAGTAGCTTGGATTCAAAATTATTCAATAATTTATTGAATAAAAATCCAGAAAAATTCTGTTCCTGAATTTTTGCCTACCATCATTGCCAATCACATTGCCACAGCACTAAACTCTAAATTTGCTGCCTCACTGCGTTCAATAAAAACGATCTATTTTATAAATAAAACTGAATCACAACTTTCTAGCATGTTCAATTCAGCTTTGTAGGTAGTTGTCATATGGTTATTTAAAGCTTGAATTCTTCAAAATAATTTGAATTGCATTTTCACTTCCAAACAGTAGTGACAAGTACCCTCAAATGGGGTAGGTAAAAAGGCCAAGGGACATAGTGAGAAGTAGTGACAAACCATTGATTTTTTAGAATCAGTTCATTTCTATTCATCTCATTTACTCAAGATAAACTAATATATTATTTATGATGAAGCTGGTAACCTTGGTATCCATAATACTTTGCTGGTCTACTTATAGGAATTAAAATTGAACTTGAGGAGAGTCTAAAAACTACGGTATCTGCTTTGCCAATATGAATTAAGGGATGCTTTTTTTGTTGTTGATGCAGCATTTCATAAATGAGTTTGGGCTCATTCAAAGTTCTTTGCAAGGGCTATTGTATGGCATCTCCAAAAAATCCGTATGCTATTCGTAAGGTGCCAGCCCCAAAATAAAAGCCTGAACCCAAATCAGACCTGGCCGGGCTGGCCCTGGGAGGAGCCAAGAGGGTAATCTGTGAGACTTGGAATGAAAATTAATTTTAAAATGTTTGAAGCCTGCAGAGTGTACTCATCCATTACTGACAGAACTATGAAGTCCTCCTCTTCCTTTGTAGATGATGCAGATGTAGAAAGTAGAATGAACTACCTACATTTTCTGTGATTTTTACTTGTTGTTTTTTTCTCCATTTATATATTACCATATCCATATATTACTGTATTATTCCCCTCAGGGGGGACTTCTGACTGGTGTCTGTACCCGTCAGAAGTCCTATGGGATTTCGCGCTCCTAGGGGGATTGTTCCTGAGCGCCCCACGGCTGAGCTCGCGGTGTCTGACTGCAGGTCTCAGTTGTGGGGTTAAGTTATTATGTAGGTAGGATTCCTTACATTTCCCTTCTCTGTCTCTCTCGTGCGGGCGGCCGACGTCCCGTGTAAGCAACCTCTTGTTCGAGTGTCTTTGTTTCTATTGCTTTTCACCTGTCCCTCCTTGTCACTTCGTCTCTTTTGACCACTATGCAGAGGGTGGATGCAGCGTCGGCAATATATGGATTTTTAAGCCCAAAGCGTCGCCGGCCATTTTAAAGATGCGTCGCCGGGTAATTTTTAATGAAAAGCCATTTACGCTGAGTAATGATGAACTATTTACAAGCCACAAACTTAAATCTAAATGTGTCGGCAAGATCTTGTGAAGGCGAAAATTTTGCCGATAATGCGTCGCCGTAGGTCTTTAAATCTTCGTTCACTCTCTGCACAGTGGTCTTTTGAGATGCTAACGCTGCTTCCTTCAAGCTAGCTTCAGCGGGCTGGACATCTGAGACCTTCCGCCCCTTGTGGGTGATGAATAATTGAGACCTTTCACCTCTATGGTGATGTTCATCTTGACTTTCGGTGCAAGATAGCTTAATAGCTGACACGCTAGTAAACATTTGGCCACTAAACTAACTAACTAACTACTGTATTATCGATGTGATGTTACAACTATCGTATCCATGGACATGCCATTGAGCATTGACAATGACCTCATCCACTGCAAAAAATCCTAGGCATCACCTGAGATATGCACTTCATGTTCTCCCCTCATGTAAGAGCCATAGTCATGACGGCAAGGATCTCTTGGGTGGATAGCTAGAGATCAGCATAGCCCAAGTCCACAGTGCGATTCATATATCTTTCCGAGCGTAATGCAGCCAGGCATCTTCATGGCTTTTGACACAAAGCGCCCACCATAACAGCGCAGTTCAGTCACAGGCCGGAGCGCATACAGGCCGGAGCACAGCAGGCCCTACCGCAACAGCTAATCCTAACGTAACCTAACCTTACCTAACCTAACCTGCACTGCCTGTTGCGGTAGGGCATGTTGCGCTGCGGCAGTGGAGCAGTGGCTGTGTTGTGCAAAGTGGATTTACTGTTAGCCAGAGTTACCCACAGCTCATTGATCTGAGGCTATGTGTAGATATTGCATGCTGTTTGGCGTTGGGCCAGGGGGCCTATTTACGAGGCAATTTTGTTACCTACGGCTGCGCTCCCAATCTCTTTGCATCTTAGAAGCCCTTGCTGGTACCAACTGGGGTTTCTCCAAGAAGGAAATTATTGCTACCTACCGAACCATCACACGCCCAATCCTCAACTCCACGGCCCCCATCAGGTACCCTGTTGCCTTGCGCACAGTAATTGCCAACCTTCAATCCATGCAAAACACTGCACTGAGATTAGCCACCGGCTGCCTCAAAATGACTCCGGTCCCATCTTCACCCATCTTCACCAAGAGACTGGCGTCCTCCCATTGTCCGCTCATCTGGATCTGGCTTGGGCCCATTTTCTCGCCCCTCCACCCTCCAGACCTCCCATACCTCATTCCGCATTGCTTCTGCTCCCCTTGGGGACCACCTCATGAAAGCCTCCGTTCAGTCAAGGCTTGGCCACCTTGTCACACCATTCTTGGCTAATGGTATCATGCCCGCTGGTGCCTATGGAGAGGCCAAGCAGTCCCTCTGCAGAGAGATTGCCTCTCACGTTGCGCGGTTGCGGCAACTGACGCTATCAATGCCTTCCTTGCAGCCCCACCACTGCTGATTGCATCAGTGGAGGCCTCACTCCCTCACCCTTGCCATTTGGCACTGTCCCAGCTCTGCTTGGGATACTGCAGCTCCCTGGCGCCCTACTCCGCTAGGATCCTAGCTCCGCCTGCCTGGAATGCAGGGATCTCCTCCAGTCCATCCAGCATCTCTTTGCCTTCCCCACCTTTCCCTTGTCCCTCAGCATCTCCTCACATTGAGACAACCCTGTGGAGGCTGCAGCATTCCTGGCAGCCCTCCCTGTCCCTGCCTTTGCCCATCTTCCCCCTCTTCCAGTGCATTCCCCCTGCCACCCCCTGGCAAGTGTAAATCTGGTCCCAACAAACAACTGCAAGCTTCATATCAGCAGCCGTATAGCATTTCTTCTGTATCTTTAACAAAAAAGATCATAAAAAAATACCTGAAACAGAATGGAATGTTTTTGTGCCATCCATCGTATTTTTGCCAAAAAAATGTCAAAGTTTAGGTTAATTGCTTTTCATTCTATGTTGCCCAGTGCACAGTTCTATCTATGACATTCTATGCACAATTTTTTGATGACCGATGATGTGTTAATTTTTTGTTAAGTGATACTTTTTTGCTGAGCAAGGTAAATAAAATCAAATTTTTTTATTGTTTATTTTATTTTTTTTTCAACTGGAGCCTTTGCTAACCAAGGTTCTACTATAAATGTGTTTTTAGGGGTGTCCCTTATTGCCCCTGTTGAGCAAGGATGTCAACCGGTTTTTTGGAATGAGCTATGCAATCAAATGTATTTTTAAGCCAACACCTGTATGCAACTTTTATGCAAGTAAATTTTTTTAATACAGCAAATATATTTTTTTTTGCTACAGACCTTAGAAGAGGTACTCTGTGCTTTATGCAACTTAGATAGAAAAAATTTCGAACTTTATGCCACTATTTTTAGTTTTGCCATATTTCAATTAGTTGCTACATTTCTACAAAATGTCGGAAGACTGTCCTGATTTAACCCGCTCATCCCTTATTGCTCCGTTTGATGGTACTGATTGGTCTTCAGAAACGGTGTGATATATGTGTGCACTTTTTATTTTAGGACTGAATTTTGCAGGTTCACTCCCTATTGTAGTTGAAAAAAACATAGAATTAATTCTCAACAACATTGAGATCAAGGTGGAAGGAGGTTTAGAATGAAAATTGAAGCAACATCATTCATGAAACGTTGTACGGTACTGACATCACAATGCAACATTGAATCAATGTTGCTACTACGATGTCGCTGCAACATTTAATTCTCTGGTTGAATGGACATTGAAATAACTACCTATTACGACGTTGAAATCACGGTGAAAAGAGATTTAGAATGAAAATTGAAGCAACATCTCTCATGAAACATCATACTTGCGTTACAATGCAACATAGAATCAATGTTGCTACTACGACATTGCTTCAACATCAAATTTTCTGGTTGAATAAACATTGAAGAACCAAATTGTTAGTGCATTTTCTCATTTATGGAAAAAATGCACTATTGTGCTTGTCATGTCCGTCTGTCTGTCTGTCCGTCTGTCCGTGACCTCAAGTTTTTGTCATTGAGAAAATGCACTCTCTGGCCACTCACTGCTGTGAGTACTGAGTTATATTTTTTTTTTTGTCAGTAGCAGGATTCGAACCCGGGTTCTCTGGAGACCACGCAACGCCTTAGCCACCTTTACCACGGTAGCTCGCGTACATGAGCAATAAAAATAAGATTAAGAATTGTTTGACTCCTTGAAAATTGAACTGCATTCACTGGTCATTAATCGTACACTTATATATATATATCTATGCATTTCATTCAATGTTAGTGTGATAATGTTATTACGTTAGCCCCATGCTGGTAAATAGCTAAACATTTAAGGTACCGATATAGACAATTCTTCAATGTTGAAATAAGGTTGTTTTACATTCTTTCTAGTTTTGATCAGATTTCGACATTGATCGGACATTTAATTTTGGTTGTTCTGCATTTCAACCTGAAATCAACAGTGATTCAACGTTAAAAAATTTGTAAGCATTCCACATACCAATATCAACGTTATTTTGACGTTAAAACAAGGTTGTTTTACATCCGTTCTAGTTTTGGTCCGATTTTGACGTTGATTGGACATTTAATTTTGGTTATTCAGCATTTCAACCTGAAATCAACATTGATCCAAAGTTTAAAAATCAGTAAACATTCAACATACCAATATCAATGTTATTTCGACTTTGAAACAAGGTGGTTTTACATCCGTTCTAGTTTTGGTCAGACTTTGACATTGATTAGATGTTGAATTTGGGTTGTTCAGCATTTCAACCTGAAATAAACATTGATTCAATGTTTAAAAATTAGTAAAAATTCGACGTACTAATAGCAACGTTATTTCAATGTTGAAATGAAGGTTGTTTTACATCCCTTCTAGTGTTGGTCAGATTTTGACATTGATATGACGATTAATTTTGGTTGTTCAACATTTCAACCTGAAATTGACCAATAATTGACGTTTCAATATCAGATGCCTGCTGGGTCATGCCTTAACTTCCAGGTGGGTTTAGCCTGCATAATGGCAAATAGTTGAGTCCTGTAACTTATTAGTTGACTAGTGAGTATCATTCATACCAATACCAACATTAACATAAATAAGATAATGAAGAAGATTCTAAAGCAGAGCAGGAAATTGGAATAAAGAATTTCTGTAAGAATCTGTTTACCACTGCATGCTTTAGTACCATGCATAGGAAGATGGAGGTTTTTGTATATTTTTTTTTTGTAGTGGCGTCACCTGGTTTTGAATTATGTGCTGTTTCTTGCATATATGGTGCATTGCAGCAAACAAGAGATTTTTAGAAACCATTTAATTTCTAATTTTCTGATCTATTCAAATTTTTTTTAAAAACCTTATGCTTGTTGAGGCTGGCATCCATGAGACTTACTGGTCTACTTATAGCACTTGAAAAAAAGTCATTAAATGTTTCTTGTTTGCCAGTTTCCAAAATGCATGTTTGGTTACTAATGCATTATGCATCTATGTGCATTGTCATTTGGCATGAGGAAAGGATCATGCAACTGCAGCAGTTGCTGGCAGCATCTATCATTGAATGTATGAATAGTCATTATTCACTAATGCACACATATGAATAGCTGTACAATTTGAGAAAACAATCACGAAGGCACCACTGCCATCACTGAATTTATATTTTTTTTTGCAATTTTTCTCAATTCAGCATATTATGCTTTTGGTAGGATTAGAAATTTTGAATATTAGGTTTCTAAAGAATATTTTATTATAATTTTATTTAGGGTATTTCAAATATGCTCTATTCACTATCTATCAAGTATGTAAATAGTTTGACAACACATGAAATTAATTATTGAAAGAGCAGGGATTTTGGTTTCTGAGCATATGTTTTATTGGAATGTGATGGGCCTTTTTGGGTAGAAATTAAATCATATTGCCTTGTATGAAAAATGCACAAGATGTCCCATGATAAACTTATAATATATAAATGTGCTGACCTGTAAGGTTGTAGTTAGCAGTCTCAATAGGATGAAATACTTTTTTCAGGAGAAAAATGAAAGTAGCACCAAGGGGTTAAGCAAAACAAAACAGAATAGATCATGTAATGTAGACATGAAACCGTCGTATGTGGAACACAATGCAATGTCATAAATTCTGCGGTGAATTTGCCAGCAATATGAAAATTATGTTGGATATTATTTGAAAATTCTTTGCATTTCATTTTGGCTGTTAAGTACTGAGCCATGTTATAAAATTAGATATTGTATTAAGCTCCTTCAATTAATTTTTTATGTCAGTGCTAATTATCTGAGTCCTCTATATGAATTATTTGTGTATTGACATTTACAGAAACTATTCTCTTATAACACTATGTCTGAAAGCTTGAAACTGGAATCAACTGCAAAATGCTTTGGAGGAAGCCAAAATGTCTACAGCCATGAGAGGTAAAGTATATATATTTTAACTAGTTCATATACCAGTAAATTTAAGGTTCTACCTCATTGTATAGTATTGCACGGTACTTAGGAATTCTGTGATACTCGTCTTTATCCAGTTATTCTGAACAAGCAATCAAATAAGTTATTTATGTTGTTGGAATACTTTTTGGATGGTTTTATTTTTATAATCAATTTATAACAGAGTTTCCAACTAATTTTTTATTAGCATTTGCATTAGCATAATTTCAAAATTGTATTAGCATAAAAATCTCCATCATTCCTAATTGTTAACATTTCAGCACAGAACTCAAGTGCAACATGAAGTTTGCTGTGTTTGTGCCTCCGCAACATGCTGAGGGTAAGACTACTGGATTGATTTATGCTTGCAGAGCTTGTGCGCATTTGAATGACACTCAGCATAGGGTGGAGCTTAATTTTTTGTATTGTTGGCTGGATGGCAGCCCAGTTGCAAACATTGAAATAAATGCCTTAAGGCTTCTGCCATGAAATAAGTCTATATACATGAAATAGGCACATCATTGTACATAACCACACATGTATGCTTCATTGGCCAAAGTGACAAAATGATTTTGGGATTTGTTGCAAAAGTTTTCAGAAACTTTTCTACCTTCATGTCAAATGTTGTGTGTTCCATCATTTATATGCACATTGTGTCTGTTGGATTTTTCTTGTTTCTCTGTAAGTGCAATTTATAGCTAAAATAAAATATTCACAGATGATCAAAAACTTCATCATTTGTTCACACTTAACCTTGTGAAAGTAACATTATTGATTCCTGTGTTTTGTTGATTGCAAGTCCATACATATCTTTGATAGTAACCTTGGTGACTAATCTTCATAGGCTCCAACATTTTAACTTTTGATCTTGTAGACAAAAATTTTTTTTAACTTCAAATCCTCATTAAATAAATTTCAAACAAATTCAGGCCATAATGTAAGTAATGTTAAATTTATACAAAATTGTTGACTTACCCACAAAAAAGTGCATACCTACTTAAGTGAATGATTGTTGATAATAAAAACATTGTACTAAGTTCTGAAACACTAGCAAGTTTACTGTCCAGCATAATACTACTAGTTGTGAGCAGATGCAGTACCTGTGGTGTACTGGCTGTCAGGACTAACATGCACTGAACAAAACTTCATCACCAAGGCTGGAGCTCAACAACATGCTGCACTACACGGCCTGCTCATTGTTTGCCCCGACACCAGCCCTCGTAAATTGTCTACCTGAATAAATTTAAGATTGGTACCTGAATATTTTGCCTTAAACATATATATACCTATATATATAAAAACTAGAGATGTTGAATGGATAATAGGGAGTTTTTTCAATAAGCTGCTAGTGTAGCCTTATAGTATTTTATAATGAATATCTTTATTAGGTATGTACTTGTAACTCTACCACTCTGAAATTTATCATCAAAAATAATAATTTATGTATTGTTGAAAATTGTTTTTAATGCTCAAATTGTTTGCAGGAGACTGCAAAATTGAGGGTGAAGATGCAGATTATGATTTTGGCACTGGAGCTGGATTCTATGTTGACGCCACTGCAGAACCTTGGAAGACCAACTATAGGATGTACTCCTATGTTACACAGGAATTACCTGTACTAATTGCTGCCAACTTCAATATCATTCCTGGCAAGACTGGCATCATGGGGCACAGGTGAGTTGGTGAAACTTTAATTGGCTTCGCTCAGCATGAATTAGACAAGAAAAACCTTCATTGATTGAAACAAGCAAGAATTAGGAATGCAGAATGAGAATTGACCTGGCATGGTTTTGGGTGAATGACAGTAAAAAAAAGTGTAAAAAAGTATTAAATATTTAGGTCTGAAATTTGGGGAAAGTGAAGAGCTGTAGTCAAGCTCAAACTAACTTCTCCACATACAGCATGGGTGGTCACGGGGCACTCGTGTGTGCTCTCAAGAAGACGGGGCAGTACCAGTCTGTCTCAGCCTTTGCACCCATCTGTCATCCCAGCGTCTCACCCTGGGGCATCAAGGCCTTCAAAGGTACTCTTATCTACTACATTTTTGTCACTCTTCTACAATAGATGAGGACAATTATAATTACTCGAGTGATCACTGGACTAAGGGACAATAGCGCATTTGTAAAAATGTATGAACAGATTAGAAAAAAATTCATTTACTTGAAATTTCTTCATTTTTTACTTAGGTCCAATAATGCAATGCAAGATTGCATGTCAGGTTTCCAGATGCAAAGCCTATCATTTCAAAATAAATCAAGAGGTGCATCTGCAGTTCTTCTTTCCTTGGCTGCAAGTTCTTGCTTTGAATGCATTCAGTCTTTGCTCTTGCTTCTAGCGTTTTTTGTGTTAGTCCTACTTATTGAACAATGAAAATATACTTTTTGACCTATGGATGTAATCACCACTTAAATTTCATTTCACTTTAAGGTTTTCCAATAATTTTTGTTTGAATTCTTTAGAGAGCTTTTATGTGTTGAGGTTGCTTTATAGCCTAAAAATGCTTTAAATATTAAATGAATGGAGTTTGTCAATTCTGAGCCTAACTTGGTATTTCTGTTATTTACTCCCAAATCTTAGCATCTTACCTTGAAACCTTGCTGGATGCGAATGCCCAAATTTCGCTTTTGATGAATTTTTTTCGGCAAATAATTATGCAAAATTTGCAGCTTTATGTGTGTATGTATGTGTATATATTTAATGCATGATAAATGTATCTTTATTTGAATAAAATCACTTTAAATTAATTTTTTTAATTAATTGAATAATATCAATATTTCCATCAATTGCTCATATTATGAGCACACTGCAAATCACAAAGCGGCTACCAGAACCAGAACAAAACCTCCACAAATCAAACAAAAGAGCTGGTGTATAGAACCTAGAACTTCTCAACTTATTGTTTTTATGAATTTTGTACAAAGTAGATTTTATTCAAATTAAACCCGGTTAAATTTTTTATTTAATTATTACGGTTACATCAGAAGTTGACGAATGACATTTGACTTTGTTTCAACATTATAGTGAGTTTTATTTACAGGATACTTGGGGCCCAATGAAGACACTTGGCAGGAATATGACGCCTGCGCCTTAGTGAAGAAATATTCTGGGCCTCCTCTCCAAATCCTCATAGACCAGGTATTATATTCAGAGCCTCCTCTCCTAACCCTCATAGACCAGGTATTATATTCAGGGCCTCCTCTCCTAACCCTCAACATAGACCAGGGACACGTCAGCTCGTGTGTCATTACTACGTCCTCGTGCCTAAAAATATATATCAACAAACAACAGAATTGCCCTGATGTCCAAAAGCGATATGCAACCCATTAATAATTTAACCAATGAGTGTCGGAACAACAAACTTGGTCAGTTCGTAATTATATGTAATATGAACCTTGACCAAAGATAACTACTTTATTACTCTGAACTGGGTTTGGGCAGAGCTGTCATTCTTCAATGTTATTGGTTTACATTCCATCGTGAGCAAGTGGTGCCCAAACATCCCCCCATCAGAAATGTTGACAACTTGTAAGCTTTTATCGTTGCCCTCACTTCCCATTTATCCGTTATTAGTTTAGTAATTACTTTTCCTCTATATGATCGTTATTCCGATCTACTCACTTAACTCATAGACGAGTAGCCAATATGAACATGTACTTCATTATGGTATGGTCGTGAATATGAACTTCATTTCAGTTTAACAATAAATTGAAGGAATTTCGTACGCATGGGCGCAAAGTAAACTAAATTTAAGAGGAATTAAAAATGGATTCTATGTCAAATTACATGAATAACGGGTAAAAGATTCAGTACTATTGCTGAAATTATATACAATATACAGGGTTATTCTGAATGACAGACCCAATTTAATAACTTCGGATCTCTTTAAATATAAATTCAAAACCAATAATTTATACATCAATAGAAACAGAAAAATTTCAAGTTTTTATTTTTTTTTTACATATTTATAAATGTTCAATACGTCCTCCTTGTGCTGCATGGCAAACATCTAAACGGCAGCCAAACTCATCCCACACACGAGAAAGCATAGTATCTTCTGCTGCTGAGTGCACCGTAGCAGTGATACGGTTCTTTAGATCAACCATGTTACCATTATTAGATTACGTCAAGGAAGCTGTTTACGTCCCGCCTCTACCAGCAACTTGAATAAATACGAACTTATTAAATTGAATAATTACGAACTTATTAAATTGGGTCCATCATTTAGAATAACCATGTACATTGGTTGGTAAAGCGTCCAGGTTATTTATATTCAGTGACACCGATGGCCAGTGATATGTGTACATGTTGAATGGCATTTGTTATATTATTGTGTATACTGTTCATGACGACATGTGTGCAGGGCACGGAAGACAACTTTTATACGCAGAAGCAGCTGTTGCCAGAAGACCTGGTGCGTGCCAGCCAAGAGAGCAGGGGCGTGTCGGTTGTGCTGCGCATGCAGCAGGAGTATGACCACTCCTACTACTTCATTGCTACTTTCATCGCTTCGCATTTGGAACATCATGCAAAATATTTGAAAGCGTGAAAACACGAGATAATTCAAAGCATTCATATGTTTTCAATATTTATTGAAAGCCTTCAAATATTTTCTATTGTATTTTATAGCCGTTATAGTTTTCAATTGAAAAATGATGATGCAAACCTGTTAATCTATCATATTATTGCTCAAATATATCTTCGCGTATTGAAATTTTAGTTAATTAAATTCGAAACGTGGAAGCAAAACGTTATACGTATTGTTATTGCACTGCCAAATTTTTTTTTAAATCTAGCTCCAATTTCATCAATTTTATAACATTAAATTTCAGGAAGGTGATCTAAAAACCTAATGATGGATCACGGAAAGGTTCTTAGTGAGAGTGAGCCGAATTTTTGTTGATTAAATACATTGAATTTTGGAATAATTCTGTACTTCATCCAACTAAACGGATATTTTTCCGGTGTAGATCTAGCTTTTCATCTCGCAAGTTGTGTTTGAACGTCACTTTAATACGTTTGAAAGTAACGGCAATTTGCTTGCAATCAGGATTTATCGTTGATAGTACAGCCGCAGTATCAATATTAACCAATCTTAAGATGGCAACATTATACTATTTCCAATGCCAGAAATAAGGATATAGAATTTGACAATTTTATAAGAGTTTGATTCAAATAAATAGGGCGGGATACAGATTTTATACCACATATTTCAGCTGAGAAAATCACACTGTGAATATAGAACAAATCATAAATGGTCCTAAGTCAATAACCTACAATGACCGGAAGAATTAGTCGATGGATCACAAAATGGAAATGGCGCCAATGGACTATGAAATGGAAAGGTATGCTGCAAACTCTCAGAAATTTTCCGTTTCTAACTTTCTCTTCTTGCTGGCATGTTGGTCTTGCAATCGTCCTTCCCGTCTGTCGAGAACGGGCTTCTTCTTCACTAAAATGTCCTTACTGATGACAACGCTCATTCTGATCATAGCTTTATTCGGAGAAACTTTACGGACGAATCTTAGATGCTTCACTATCAAGCCAGGTATGTCGTACTTGTCATTAACGAATTTAATGTTAGGGGTGAATGCCTCGGTTTCTTTACAAGTTTCATCACAAGCACTTTTCTGAGACTTTGCAGCGACAGTATATGCTTGAAGCTTTGTTGTGAATTCTGCATCAAAATCTGGGAGTTCATCAACTAATCCCAAGTAATAGGCGACTCGTGTGGCACAGCTGCTGGCTTTAAGATCTTTAGAAAACATGTAAACGTGGACTATCGGCTCGCGGAGCTTGAACGTGTCGCTGCACAGGTTGGCATCGGACAAGAGACCCACAAAGTTGGTCAGAAATTCTATTGCTATTGCGGGCAAGTTCATTGTAACATGAATTTCACCTTGAAAATCGGGATCTGTACACGTGGCGATCAGGTCTTCTTTGAGTGTTGATCTGATGAAGTCACCTCCATCCTGATTAAAGCAAGTCACTCTCTCACCAACTTTGTTTAGCGCAACATTATGGCATAGCCATCGAAAAGATTCTGGGTTCAGATCGTTGCTGACAACACGGCACTTCCTCTGCGCAGCTGCAGGGATGCTGAACGGTCCAACACCTGCCATCACATCGTACAGTACGTCACTTCTATCAAGCATCTTGACCACCATCTCATGTTCAGTTGATAGTCTTGGATTCCAATACACCTTTGCGAAGTCGAAAGTGAATGTACACATATTTTCCTTTACAGTTGCAACAGTATCTCCGCCTCCAGCAATCACTTCCATGGTAAAACATCTAAATGTGTTGTCAGAGTTATCAATTGTATCAACCTTGTTAACTACCATTGAAACTTCTGTTGGACTTTTGTCTAGAATAATCTTCCCAATTATATTTTTGTACGGATGCAAATGCTCTTTCAAGTTGAGGTGAATTATATGGCCAACCCTGGAATATCCTGAGACGCCGTTGTCTTCCAATGGTAGCACAGCTTGAATTGTTTCTGGTGCATCCCAGTTTTCATACGTGAGTTCAATTTGTGAAGTAAGGAACTGCACGGGTCGTTCACCAGAAGAAACAGTTTTGAAGAACTTTTTGCATGATTCATCAATTTCTTCTGAAATTTTGGATTCATTGCCTGGAAATGACAATGGATTCAAGTACACTACTTTATAATTCGTTCCAGGAGGCCCTTCTTTGATGGCAGAAAAATTGCAGAGCTTCAAGTAGTACTTCTTCAATACTTTGAAGACGGGTGAAACGGCGCTCAGAGAAACGTGTGCTACTGGTACTGTGATGGTCTTGTGGAATGCTTCATGGTCAAGAGTTGTCATTCCTCTAACTTTTTCCGGTGGCCATAATATGTCAGCAGTCATCTTGGAGGAAGTCTCAATTCCTGCTTTGCGAAGGGTCCTCTTAGCAAGAATATTCAATTTTTCCTCAGCTGAATAATGGGAAGCACGTCTCGTCACTTGGAATATGGAGTTCCAAATACCAAGAGATGAGGAAACTTCTACAATTGGAGAACAGAGCAAAGTAGCCACCAAGTTGAAAGAAGAATGTCTCATCAATCCAGGCCTCAACATGGATGGATTCTGAAATGAGAATGAATAATTTTAGCAAATATCAATAAAAAGTAATCCATATTTTAAAAAATGAGGGTATAGTATTCAGCAATTTGAAAATTTGCAGAAGTTTGTAAAAATCATATTTTATTTTCTTAATTTATTACAACATTAATTTGTAGCATAATATTGATAGCTAGCAAGGATAAAAAGCTCCTGAATAATCATAAGTCTTCTAGAAAAAAAAATTAAACACACCATATTTCATTTGCTGAAATATTATATGTATATACATAAATATGTTGTGCCAAAATTGCAGAATTGCTGATTCTATGGAATCGGCAGCCACTTTTGCATTCGGCATTACTTTACTATATTTGCATTTCTATACGTACTAGAGAAATGTGGGGTTAGGTCAGTCAGCCAAGTTATTTTTTTAATTATTTTAATATAAAGGAACTTGACCTAACATTTTCTAACTCTAACTGTCAATTTATGTTCTAACTCTAACCTAACATCCAATTTTCTGAATCGGCAACAAAATGTGATTCTACAGATTCGGTAAACAGGCTGCCAATTCCATAGAGTTGGCAATTCCGCAACTTTGGCCGAACATATATGTAAAACACAAGTTTTGTTTTCAGTATGCTTGCTGATTTAATTAATTAACTAGCATTGAATGATCTCAAATTAAGGTCAAGGTAAAAATTGCGCAGATATCACAGGAAAAAGAAGCAGAATAGACAACAATTACTTTGACATACTAAGGAAATTAAAAAAGTGCCAATATTTTGTGAACAACCATGAATAATAATATAGTCATGAAAGATTGTTGGTAATTGTTATTTTATGGAAATAAATTAAAGTGTTTGTTTATGGAAAACACAACCAAGACTTGTGAAGAGAAATCCTGACTAATTTATGCTGGGAAGATCTGCCTCATTGAACAGAACAAAATGAACTTAATGAATATACCGGTAATGCCAAGATTTGCAATTAATTGCAAGTGTGCACAGCTGTGCTAGCTGTGATTGGTTGATGGTGGATGCTTTCCTGCTGTGATTGGTTCTGCCCATAAGCCCTGCTCCCAAATATGGTATATGTACTAGAGTACTGGTCAACTTACTACTTAACTTAAACTTGATCATTACAAACAAAGAGCCTGGAAAATTTCCAAAAAATCCATTGAATGAAAGAAAAAAAAATATCAATCAAACAAGAGTCATCCAAACAATTTTATAACAAATCTGAGGTACTATACAATTGAATGAGTTTGTCCACTTTTGATCCTCCTTTTCATTTATAGTCAGTCACCTGGCAGAGAACTGTATCCAAGGAAAACTTTTATAGCAGAGCACTGTATCCAAGGAAAGCTGTTTTATAAGTGAACTTCCATTCTTAAAATTTCAGCCTGCACTAGTAGAAAAGCAATTAAGAGATAATGATAAAATTGTAATAAGAAAAGCTGGTAAGAGACACATCTTAGCTATTTTAGACCAAACTTGACAATATTTAGAGAAAAAGTGAGTCAAAAATTCTGTTGTATTGGACAAGACCCTACGCCTACTGTGCACCTACAGAGCAACTTCAAAGAAGAGCCAACAAATTATTGAATACAGCTAACTCAGTTGCCACTTGCCAGCTCAAGAAAAGTATCCCAGATCTTTGGGAGTTATTTGCCAGGTTATCTCTATGGAAATGTTAAAAATCACACAGAGAACAATCAGCTGGCACTTCGGCCCATAATTGCTCATGCTAACTCTCCCATCTACAAGACAGGCCAAGAATCGAATGCTATAAAGAAACTCTGCCACTCTGGCATTTTGGAACCAAAATATTTCATTTGTCAGTACTCGGTAGAAAAATTTCAATCTAGATAAGGTTCACAACCAAAATTTTAAAATTACTATTAAAAATGTATGAGCCTTTTTGTTATGTTAAATATTACTTGACTGAGGCCAAATGAATTGAAATGATTTTTGACATTCTTAGCATGAGCATGCAGCAATTGCAAATTTACCATTGGCTGCACTGACCAGTGACCAGGGATGGAAAAGTCTTATTTTTTTCTGAAATATTGTGGCTCTGATATCATATACCATAATTTCAGTACTAGGTATGAAATCTTGTGGCTCTAATGCCATGTATTTATGTTTGATTAAAAAAAAATTGCAGTTTGCTGCACTCTGCAAACATGTCATTTCATAAAATTTCCAACTTCTGCAATCCACACTAATTCAAAAATCCTACCAAAATATCCTGCACAACGAAACAACATGTCAACATAATATGTTTCCTTATAGATCACATAGTTGCGGTCATGTCAGAGCGGTCAAACTGCATTATCACATGATCAGTTGCCACTGAAGAGAAGACAAATGTTAGTGTTGACTGTTTTCAGGGTAAAATTAGAAATTAGGAGTAACACATGCACGGGACTTGGTAAAAAGTTCGCAGCTGCCGCTTTTAAATGACTTTTAATGGCTGAGATATGGAATTCACAGCTCAAAGAAATTAAATCACAGCTCAAAGAAATGGAATCACAGCTGGCTGCTGGCAAATAAATCAAACCAAGAAATTCATAGAAAACGGAAAAAGGAGGTACTTTAAAAATCTATCTCCTCCTACAGTTTTCAAGCTACAGCATTGAAAGAATACCATTCAATTCGTAAAGGCCATACCAATCAAGTAACACAGCGAGATTTTTGATTTTTGCCATAGTTTTTTACATGCATTTTCCTGTTTTCTTCTCATTTTCTTCTGATTTCCCCCTCCTCCCCATTTTCCATCCAAACTTTGGCAAACTATGCACAAATCTAAAAAAGGGCTTCGTTGCTCAATACGTATGGTCTTTACAAATCGAATGGCATATCTTTCAATGCTGTAGCTTGAAAACTGTAGGAGGAAATAGGTTTGCAGTGACAATAAGTTAACTTTTCAGCAGAGCCCGACAAAGTCCCGCGCGCATCAGAATAGGCATTCAATGTAGCAAGGATACAAAACTAAACGTTACTGGAGCTTGATTCCAGTCAAGGATGGTGGGAACGACTGCATGCACACCACCCCATACCGCCATATGATGCCAGGTGGGTAACTGAAGTGCAGCTCAAGCAGACACTCTATTCAAGTGCTCGGCAGCTAATTTCCCCTTATCTTATATGTTGAAGAACTCCACCACCCCTAACCCTTGCGATACCCTCCCCCCTTAAACAAGCATTTAATAACAAATAAGGAAACTGTGCAATTGTGAAGATTTCCTGGAGGCATAGCACAAAATTTTACTAAAGGCAAAGATAATCTAAAACTAGCTTTAGTATTATTAGTAATATATTACCAGGACTCCACTCCACTGTCTACTAATTGGCCAACTAATCTAGACACTGCGTCCCTATGCGCTCCATGGCGCCTGAACTCGTTCCGAATGCTTAATGAACTTGACTCGTACTCGTACGTACGGTTCCCATAAAGTGCCATGGAAGCCTTAGTTAAGACTTAAGGGTAACTTTTTTACTCAATACTCAGCCATACATCGACAGGTTTGAGGGGTTTGTCAGACCACTAATTAACTGCCATGTCAGTCCACACTTGGGATGATGTATATAGATGGGGAAATTTCCCATGCATAAATAGTTTTATGAAGCCCTAGATCAGTGCAGTTCGCCCAAAGCAATCTAATTATATTTTATTCGTGCAGGCGTTTGCGCAAATCACAGTCATCGATTCCACGCCGCGCAGCACTCGGCGCGGGCCGCGGAGCCGTCCAAAACAGTTCTGATTTAGACAGTTTTCATCTGAATGGAATGGCAACATTGTCTGTAGATTTCAAGTAATGCTGAACCAGCGTTGCCAGATGGTATATTTCTATACCAGATTTCACAAATCTGGTATTTTCAAAAGGTGTCTGGTATGAATATTCTAGATCTGGTATATATGCCTAAATCTGGTATTTTCTGACTTACTGCAAATTTACTGCATTAAGTTCCACCTCTGAAGTTTGAACTTCTTCCAGCGTAGGCGTGGATTATATTATTATTTAAATAGATTGCCTTCAGAGCGGCGCGATTAGAGCTTTCCCGCCATTTTTGGAACCACAAGTTTTCATGTCAACCGGAACTCAAACACCACAGCAGAGTATTTTATGCAGCTAATGAATTTTGCAAACTTTGCTGGATGAGAGATTATTGAATTTTAGAAAAAAGGCGGGATAATTCAATGAAGGCTGGTGGCAGAGCTGCAATCTTGATACTCTATTGTGATTTGTGCTATGATAACCTACGTAACAATTTTCATATGATAGTAACAATTTTCGCACATTCAAAGTACACATGACATAACGCACCCAGATTTGGAAACCATAATTGCTCAAATGAAGCAAAAATAAACAACAGACCATTGACTTATCTTGCAAATATATATATATATATTCAAATTTTGTATCACATAGTATAATTACGCTCTGTAATTATGCCATATTGACCTAATTTGTTTAGTCCATTTACGTGCATTGTTATTAGGTATTGATCATGTAGATTTCACCAGCCAGGAGGATGTCGGGAATGTAGCCCCAACATTGGCATGCAGGATCGTACTGTTGACGTACAGGTTCATACCCTACTTTCCGCAACCAGTCAAGTCCAGTCATTCATTAGAAGGCACCGATGGCACATCTAAAGCCATGTTGCTTTTTTAGTTCTGTAATTCATGTCCAATTGAATTGTGATCTATGAATGAATATCCATTACTGTGCTGAGCCTGACTCTTAGAACCTGAGTCCTGAGTTGACGCGTTAGCAATCTAGTTAACTCATATCCAACCACAACACAATGCGGATACACGTTTGTGTGTAAGGTCAGTGTGATTACGTAATTTGCGTTGCCGCGCATCCATATTTAAACTAGGGTAAACGCGGTATATTCCGTCACATTAAGGACGCATCGAGAAATGAAAAACTATAAAAAATAACCGTATGCGTTACTCAAGTTCTGTTTGCTTTATGTGACTCCCAAAACACTGCACTACGCGTCAGCAACGACAAACTGTCGCAAAATGTTGCCATATTTATTTAAAAGCCTTTAGAATGCAAACCTACCTAATCCCTATATTCCGTCACTGTGTGTGGCTATATTCGGCACGTGGTGAGGCGTATTCCGTCCGCGCTTCAAATTCTACTGACACGTAATGCCGTCATCCACGTGTTCGAATTCCGTTTGCTGTGTGAGCTGTATTGGAATATAACATGGCTTTGAATTAGAACACTAATGAATATTGAACACTACTTAATTACGCTTTTAATTAACAACTATTAAGCTTTTAATTAAGCAAATTTTAATTTTTGTACACAGCTTGGAA